CTGCCCTCTGTCTCCACTAAAATGAGAGCCATTCTTTTTCTGTTTTTGTTTTTTGTTTTGCACATGCCAGTTAAATGCTTTACTGCTGAGCTACATCCCCAGCCAAAACAAGAGCCATTCTTTAAAAAGAAAAAAAAAAAACACCCACTAATCTCTGACCTCCAATTCTGGATTCACTATCCCTGGCCCCATGGAACCTGGAAACCCACAGGTGCATGCTCAGCACCTGCCTCCTACCTATCCAGCCCAGGAAGGACAATGACAAACTCTCCCTCCTGCTTCTCTTAGTCTGGGCCATGCCACTTACTCCAACAAGGGCTGTCTCATCTCCCTTTGCCAATGCTCCTGGCCCAGGGGCAGGTAGAAGAGGGTGTGATGCTGTGAGAACCCCAGCTGAAGCCTACACCTGGAGCCCTGACCCCTGGTACCTCTTCTCTCACCCTGGCCAGGAGGTGCGGGAACTCCAGGAACAGCTAGCCCGACAGCAGGTCCACGTGGAGATGGACGTGGCCAAGCCAGACCTCACAGCAGCCCTGAGGGAGATCCGCACGCAGTACGAGGCAGTGGCGTCCAGCAACATGCAGGAGGCAGAGGAGTGGTACCGGTCCAAGGTAGCCTTGCCTGTGGGGCTCCTCAGTCAGCCCTCCTTGCTCCATACAAGAGGACAGGGGAAGGAGAGAGGAGGAAGCTAGAGGAATATCCTCTCAGTGACCAACCTCCCCAGAGAAGTGAGATAACCTGCCCAGGTCACACAGGCACTACTACTTCCAAAAGTACTCATTAATATTATTCCTGCTATTACTACTATTGTGCTACTAACATTGTTGTATGCCAGGCCCTGTGCTTTGAGTTTATTATCTTACCATGAAGCACTATTCTTCAAGAGATGAGAGAACTGAAATCCAGAGAGGTTAACCAACTTGCCCAAAGCCACAAAGCTCCTATGTGGTAAAGCAGGATTTCCAACCCTATCCCATTTCACTTGGGAGCCTGCATTCTTGATGCCTCTGCCAGTCTGCATGCTGGGTTATGGAGCATTTACTGCATGCCAGGTTATTTGCTGGGATACAGAAAGGCATCTGAGCAGGGAGATGTGATAATGGACCTAAATAGGGCTGCATAGAGAAACACCACAGGGCAGTTTATTTGCAGCGTTGGAACTGGGGAAGTCTGGTGGGGGACATTTGAGCTAGAAAGAACAGGTAGGTTACCTATATAAAGAGAAGAGGGACAGCAGAGCCTGTTAGGAGGCCGGGAGGTGAAACACAGAGAGGTAGTACTTGGAGGTGCTGATCCAGGGCGCCAGGGCTGAGGGGTGTGAGCAGCAAAAGCCTGTGACAGTCTGAGTAGGGTCAAGGCATGCTGGAATGCTGAGTGCAAGCTGGGGGAAAGGGCTATTAGCACCCAGGGCTTTGCTGGCCAGGACCTATTATCCAAGGTGGGGACGGGTTTCAGGCCCATAGATAGGGCAGCCAGCACAGAGGTTCAAGATCCTTTGGCACTGGTCATTCATTCGCCGGCTGAACAGGTACTGTGCTAGTGGCTGAGGCACAGCAGTGACTCTGTGCCTCCAATCCAGGGGTCACTGTCACTGGGAATAAACCCTGCCAGGGCCAGTGTCCTGGGGGTGACCTGGGTCATGCCCATCTCCGTGATTTCCCAGCAGTCTCCACCGGCCCACGCGGATCCCCTGAATGTATGTATCGGGGGCCCACCCCTCAGTTAGGGCTCTTTCCCCTTCTAGTTTGCTGACCTCACAGATGCTGCCGCCCGCAACGCCGAGCTGCTCCGCCAGGCCAAGCACGAGGCCAATGACTACCGGCGCCAGCTACAGGCCTTGACCTGCGACCTGGAGTCCTTGCGTGGAACGGTGAGCAGTGGGGGTCACCACCACGTTAGGGATGCTAAAAGAAAAGGGCCTGGGTAGGGACCTGGCAGAGGGCGGGGCTCCGATGTTACTCCGGGCTGGAGGCCGGCCTCGAAGCCTCTCAGAGTCGCGCAGCATGCTGGGGCCCCGAGGGACCGGCCCGCTACATCCCACAGAACGAGTCCCTGGAGAGACAGATGCGCGAGCAGGAGGAGCGCCACGCGCGGGAGGCGGCGAGTTACCAGGAGACCCTGGCCCGTCTGGAGGAAGAGGGACAGAGCCTCAAAGACGAGATGGCCCGCCACCTGCAGGAGTACCAGGACCTGCTTAATGTCAAGCTGGCCCTGGACATCGAGATCGCCACCTATAGGAAGCTACTGGAGGGCGAGGAGAACCGGTGAGCCGAGACCACAGCCCTCGGGAAATTCTCCCTGCTGCCTCCCTCTAGAGTCTGCCTTGCTCCCTTCAGGGCCTGAGAGTGATCCATCCTTGGGTCCAGTTATTCTCCCACCCAGTGCCCAGCACATTGCCTGACCAACACACAGTAGCTATTCAATAGATGTCTGATGAATGGCTCCAACCAATATTGATTAGGTCCCAGGGTGGGGGGTACCTGGGTCACCCTCCAAACTAAGGGTCTCACTCCTCAGCCTCTCAACAAAGACTGGACTTCTGTTCCCCTGACTGATCTCTTCCAATTCTTGGCACTTTCACCATTTTCTCCTCCCTCTCCTCTGCCATACAAGTCTCCATTATCCTTGGTGGAACATGTTCCTTGGCAGATAACATCCAAAACTCTGGCACACTTTTGGAGCTACACAGAGAGCACTGGCTGCTGCAGAAAGCTTGGGAGACTCTCCTGGCATGGCAAATGGCCCTTTGGGTTGTCATGCCAACCCTTGTCCAGAACCTGGCCTGGGATGTCCTAGGGCAGCCTGGTCACCCCATCCCTTTGCTGTCTTTCAGCATCACCATTCCAGTGCAGACCTTCTCCAACCTGCAGATCCGAGGTCAGTAGAGTGGGCCTTGTAGGAAGGGTGTTGGATGCCCACCTCCTCCCCCAAGATCATGGGCTGTTCTGGCCTGGGGCCAGAGACCAGGGGAAAGAGGTCTGGGCTCTCCCTGAGGGTCTTCATGATTCACTGCAGAGCTCCTAGCCAGAACACAGCATCCCTGGGCACTCAACAGGTGGGGCTTGCTGCTGCTCCTGTCCTGCTCTGCCTGTGTCCCTTCCTCCCCTCCCAATACCCCATTCCACAGCAGAACTGGATGAGGTCTCTGCCTCTGCCTGCTCTGCATGCCTTGGGCAAGGTCTGCCCTTTTGAGTGTTTCATATTTTTGTTTTTTTTTTCCAACTGCTTGTCACTACAGGGGGCAAAAGCACCAAAGAAGGGGAAGGTCACAAGGTCACAAGACATCTCAAAAGGCTCACAATACAAGTTATACCAATACAGGCTCACCAGATTGTAAATGGAGCCCCGTCGGCTCTCGGTTAGCTGCCTGCCTCTCAAATGAGTGCTTTTCTCAGCTTGACAGGGAGCAAGCAAGTCTCAGCAAGCCCATTTTCCTGGTCCTCTTGGGCTCGCTCCTCCCAGGAGTCCTAAAGGACCAGAACTGTGTCACTTTCCCAGGAACCTCAGTGCCCAGCACAGGGTAACTGTAGGTTAAACTAGCAGATCTGGCCAGTGTTCAAGGTGGCAAGTCCCTGGGTACTCAGATGAGATGCTCTCAATCAGATGCCAGCCTCTGCCTCACCTCCTCTGTCACTGGGAAGTCCCCTTGGGTCTTGCTGTGCCTGGTGGCCAGGTTCTGTGCTTGATCCATCTGTCCCCAAGGCTCTGTTGCTCTTCTCAGCGCAATGCAGCCCAGAGGATTATTTCCCTCAGGAATGTTACTCTTGTAGTGAATGAAATTTTATGTTCTCTGCTCTTAATTTTAAATAATAGTGTGACATGTTATATTTTTCTCTCTAAGGGGAGACTAAATTACTTTTTTGTTGATATGTGGCCATCAATGATTTGTAGATAAGGAAAGAAAATTCTCTTCTTCTGGGTGAGGATATTTAGGAACACCAGATGTGTTTCCAAGGCTTAATTCAGCATCAGAAAGTTAACCATGCTGACCAGGTAGTGAAAATCTGCTGAGTGCTAGACATTGAGGGATCACATAAGTGACAGACAAGTAAGAAAGGGAAGGGACCTATACGTATCAATCACTAATATGTGCCAGATGCTTTACATACATTATTTTAGTTAATCACCTTCTCACTGCCACCTAGAGACCATCATCCCCATTCTGCAATATGGCTGAGGTCAATTATTTTGTATATATGGCTGGTTAGTGGCTGAGCTAGGGCTCAAGCTCTGGTCCACCAGATTTCAAAGCCCACGTGCTTCTTCTCTGATGCAGTACTGGATTGCCAGAAAGCCAGATAGGGATTTAAATGAAGCCAGGTCAGAGATGGCAGAGCACTGGATCGCAGTGGGATGTGCCCAGCACCATGGGGACTTGGGAGGTCTCTAGCCCTTTTGGAAGAGCAGGGACTCTCCCTGCCTGGATGGATAGGCACTTGTGCTGGTGATTCGTGTGTGTGATGGGGAAGTTGGGTGTAGGAGAGGATGTGTAGTGTCCTGAGGACCCACGGGAGGCCTCTTCTCCCAACACCTGTAGAAACCAGCCTGGACACCAAGTCCGTGTCAGAAGGCCACCTCAAGAGGAACATTGTGGTGAAGACTGTGGAGATGCGTGATGGCGAGGTGAGGAGGGATTCTGGCTGTGTCCAGGGATACTTGGCAAGGCTCTGGAAGAAAGCCTGGGCCAGGCACACAGGAGGTCCTTGGTGACTCCCAAGAGCTCCTGGAGTGCTATGGACTTTGGGGAGGAGCCTGAACATCACTCCTTTCTTCAGTCTCCATGGGCAGTGAAAGGACCTAGGCCACTGGATTGGGTCCCAACTCAGGCTCTCTCCCTTTCTCACCCTCCAGACTCAGGTGCTTCTGGAAACAGGACTGGGAGAGAGAGGAAGGAAAGCTAGTAGCTTTCACTCCCAACTCTGGCTGGGACAGTTGGGAAGAGGGAGTACTTTCAAATTTTATTCAAAGGAATCTGCCAGAAGGACAGGAGAAGGGATTTGGCATGCTGCCCCCTTGGCATTCCCAGTTGGAGTGGCAGCAGCAGTAAGGCTACTCTTATACCATAAGCCCTGTGTGCCAGGCATGGTGCTAAGCACTGTACAAGTTCTCCTTTACTACCCACTCCGACCACTGCACAATGAAAGGCGGTCTTAAGAAAAGAAAGTTCTAGGATGGTTGGGTACTTGCCTTACATAAGTTACATAGCTTAGCATGGGGGACCTGGAGTCAGTGAGCTCCTAAACTGTTGCACTGTGCACCTTCCCTGTCCCCTGCAGGTCATTAAGGAGTCCAAGCAGGAGCACAAGGATGTGATGTGAGGTGGGCCACCAGGTGGCCCCACAGCATGAGGGGCCTGTAGTGGGAGCAGTATAGTTGCTTCTCCTTGGATAGCTCATTTCTCCAGACCTGATTCCTAACTGCTGCTCCCCTCCCTCCTCCATCTCTACACCAGTCTGCTGCCCTAGGCTCAGTCAGCATTCGGCCTGCCAGATGGCACCCACCCAGCACCTAGCAACTTCAACTAACAGGGCACTCACACCAAAGGGGCAGTCTAGAAGTGTGGCCAGCAGCTTGGGTTAAATTTGGGAGCGAAGGAATAAGTTGGATAGGGCAGGGGGCACCTACAAATCACCCTGTTGTTATGGCAACTGTTGCCAAAGCTGGAGGTCTCTGGAGTCTCTGGGAACTGGGCTTTGAGTTTTCTTAGGCTGCTGGAAGAGAAAGTCCTCACAGGCAAGGCAGCCCTGGGCAGAGGCTTGCTCTTCTAGAATGACCCTGACCAATGTAGGAGAAGTCCTGCTACCTAGACTACAGAGAAAGGTCCCAGGGGGCCTCCTGAATGGTAATTCAAATGTCTTAATCCCATTGAGCTGCCATCCAGGGAACCAGTCTATAGGCAGGTAAGAGCTTGGTTCTCAGCTCTCGGGGAATCTACAGTTAAGTGGAGAGGGAAGGAGTGTTAGAAGGGCAATGAGGGGGGCTTCCTGGCCCCTAGGTGTGGATACAGAGAGGTCAAACCCAGGACGACTCCCCCATATGGGGTAGAAGGGACACTGGTAGTAAGGAGGCAGTGGGGATGATGCCAGACATCAGAGTGGGGATTGTGAGTAACAGTTACACTTGGCCTCTGAGTCATGCGAATCCAGAAAATGACTCATCCTTTTGAAGATGCTGAAACAGGGGAGAGAGGGCTGCTTTCCATGGGGGCAGAGTACCACTGTCTCAGTTCTGAAGGCCTCTTATGTGCTGCATAATCTTTGACCACCCAGGCCTCAGAGCCCTGTGACTGCTGCCTCCTGACCACAGTGAGGCCACTACCCTCCACCTAACCTTCTCCACCTGTAATGACTAGCTGCTGCTCCTCCCTACATTAAGGGCCCCTTGTGTCCCCTCTTACCTGCGTATAGAATGTACCCCACCTGTATTTTAGGCAGCACCCTATTTTATAGTTTGGGAAACTGAGGCATGAGCAGAGCAAAGCCTGAAGCAGGGGCACTTGGGCACACTCTTCCACCCCAGAACACCTGTTCTACTCTCCCTGGGCAGGCTGGTGGGCAGGTGGTAGATATTTGTGCCCAGAAATGGGGCTGGAAGGGCCCACTCCATGGTCCTACTCCCCTCTGAGGCCAAGAAGGAAGATGGGGTCCCTCAGGGGATCCCTCCCTCTTCCCAAGACTTGGTGCCCTCTCTTCACTCCTTGCTACCATCTGCTGCTGCTGTTGCTGCTAACCTTCAGGGAAGTGCCACCATCTTTACTCACTGAGGAGAAATAAAGATGCATACCATGGCCTTCCCCAGAGTGTACTCTCATCTCTTCATGGCAGGGATGGGGAAGCCGGGGTCAAGATGTAGCACTGGACAAGACTCAACTTACTCTTTATCTCTTATTGTCTTGGGAGTCCAAGTCCCTATGGCAGTAGCCACATACCAAATCCCATTTCTGACCTGTTCTGCCACAGTAGGCATGGTACCCTGGCCTCTGCTCCCCACTCCATCTTCTCATCCCCAGCCTGAGTGCAGAAAGCCCAGAATTTGATCTCTGCTCCCTTCACCATTCCCCATCCTAGTCTTCATCTTTACTCCCACACCTGCTATTCCTACCTGCCATTCCCAGAATGATGCTGGGGAGAAAGCCAAGGAAGACATATGCTAGCTCCCTTCACTTTTTTCTTCCTTCCTCCTGTGCCACCCACAGCTCAACCAGTGCCCCGTCAGCAATCCTCAAGGGCACCTCAAATGCGATCCAACAGCAACAGGTGATTTGGTGGGTATTAGTTCACTTCCTCCTCTGTCCTAAGTGTGAAGTCAGAAAACATATGCCCCTGCCTACTTCCCTTCTCCTCAGTCCCCAAGCTATCACCTGCTTTAGGTTTCCCCACTTCCCAGATCAGGCCCCATACCTGTTCATGAAATTGGGAAGCAGATTGTAACTAATAGATTTGTCTGCATCTTCTTGCCACATGTCCCAGCCCAGGACGCCTACCCAGAGGCATCTGGTATCATTTAACAAACACATTGAAGCACAACTGGTCTTCAGAGCTTGGGAAGAGAGAGCCTAGGGTGAGAACATGGGACGAAAGCGAAATGAGTAACAGCAGCAACGACAGAGGTGAACGGTGACAAAAATTGCTGTGATGAGAAGATAGCTTATCAGGGTGAGCTCCACAGCAGCACGAGTCTCAGGGTCAGACAGTGAGGCTGGGTAGTGCCCTCGGGATGTCACACTGAGTCGAAACCCAGCAATCTGCACCCCTTGCCGCCAACAATAGTAAATGCCCCGGTCACTTAGCTGAGTGAAGCGAATGTGGAGCTGGTTGCCATGGTCAATGAATACTCTCATGGATCTGTTGACACCTTTTAGGTATTGTGTGCGGTAGAGGTGCTGGTGGTCCTTGTCCCAAGCCACAGCATGCTCTGGCCGGGCCCCAGGACAGGAGATGATGAGTCCATGGCCCAGTCTCTGCTGGTGAAACTGAATGGGCACTTTGGGCACCCAAGGCTTGCTACCCACTTTGGACACGTAGTTGTATATAGCCAGCACGCTCTCCCGGAACCGGTTCTTCTTTTCACAGGGCACCAGGCAGCTCTGAACCAGCAACTCAGGCATGTGGTCCCTGACTGTGGTGCGCAGTCTCCTAGGCACAGCCTGTGAACCACAGGACACCACATCAGACTGTGTCCTCCGGTACCGTGGGGAGAGGTCAGGGCTCTGCAGGTAGCACAGGCCAATGCGCCATTGCTCCCCACGCACCCCACAGCGGTCACAAGGGGTCCACTCCCAGAAGGTGGTGAAGACATGGAGGTTCCCATAGTACTCATCAGCAAAGGGCTTCTGGCCCATGTCCTTGAAGGTCGCCACCATTCCCTCATTGCTCTGGATGTCCACATCGTAGGCATAAAAGTATTCCCCTTTGCGGGTGCCACAGAAGTACAGACCTGAGTCCTCAGGCTGGGCCCGGAAAACCAACAGGCTAAACATGCGGATGCTGAAACGGACTAGCATGTCACTGCCCACACGCACCTGGGCCGCCTCAGTCAGCACACGCCCATCAAAGTCTGTCAGCACTTTGGTGTGGCTGCTACCCACATGCTTTTGATAGTACCAGACTACAGCCGGCACCTCCTCAGGCTTGCAGTGACAGGGAAGCTCAAAGCTCATATCAGCCAAGTAGGCAGCATTGTCAAACATAAGGAAAGCAGGGCAGGGGGTCTTCAGAAAAATGTTCTCCTTCTCCACTATTTCAAAGGCCTGGAGACTGCCCCAGGCACAGAGAAGCACAGTGGTGTGGGCCAGGCTCATATCTACAGGAGGGAGGGACAGAGGGACAGGGAAAAAAAACAAGGCACTGAACACCTATGGGGTTTCTAGAAATCACTGCCAAGAAGAGGCCTCTATATGAGGAAAGAACTAAGCAGCCAGGAAAATAAGCAACAGTCTTCACAGGAAGCAGCCAAATGCAAGGCAATTTATTTCCAACTGATGTACTAGATGTCCTTGGAATGTTCCAGGCCTGATCTCTAGGGAAAATCATTCTAGAACTTGGCCTTCACTCACCTTTCTAGAACACTGGCACTCCCCTGCTCCAAGAATGGGTCAAGGAAAACCAGATGGAGCCATAAGGCCTTTGTCCTTCGCTGATCTAGGCCCTGCCCGACCTGCCCCATATAAAATATCTTCCCTTCCATCAGTCTGGAAGCCTTCCCTCCAATACACCTGGCCATCCAGGACATTGGACCTAAGTTAATGGCTTGGGGCTTCCCCAACCTGCACAAGAACTCAGCCCTTAGAGAAAAATTCTGTACCTGAAATGAAGTAGCATTTGGTCACTGTTAATTAAATGTCCATTCATTGACTTCAAGCTACAAATATTCTGATTAAAGAATTATGAGTTATCAATGTTTATTTAACATGAAAGATGAACAAGTTTGCTTTTTTCTTTTTCTGAGTGGAGGCTGTACCTGGTGTCACCCGTATTTGGTTGGAAACACATCCATCTCTCATGGCCAGTGGGTTAGACTCAAAAAGGATGGGAAGCAAAACTGATTTCAACCTCCTGGACCCTTTTCTGTCCTGTGGATTCACACAGTTCAAAAGATGGATACAGTGACTGGAAAAGTTAGAGAGACTTGATTCAAGTTTTTTCTCTGAAAATTCCAAGCTGAGAAGGGAAGTAGACGTGGGTTTCTCATTATAGTCCTGCAGAAACCCCAAGACAACCACCAAAAAAATGTCTCTGATGATCATTGACGCTCACGTCAGCCGGGGAGGCAGCACTGTCAAACATCAGGAAAGCAGGTCAGGGTGGTCTTCTGAGAGGGACTCTGAGGGCAGCCAGTCCTATCAGTGAATCTGGTACAGCCCTAATAGCTCCTGCAGGAGCCCCTCCTCCTCCTGGAGCCCACCATCTTGCTCCTCCACAGCCTGTTTGTCTGGACAGCCCCCCTCCTGCAAAGATCTGGGGGTAGCCATGGCCTGCAGCTTCTGAAACAACCCTCGGCAACTCTCTTGCTCAGCGTGGCTCAGGAGGCTCAGGTTCAGGGTAAAGCGTCCCGTGCCGGCCAGGCTGCGAAGGACCCCCAGCACTGTCATCCTGTCAGCTGGCCTCACATGATCATCCAGTACCACGAGCAGCTCCCCTAGAAGTCCAAACCCCACATCTGTCTGGAAGAGGTGACCCAGTTTGGGACCTCCAAGCTGCAGCAGGGCCTGGTAGCGCTCTGGTCCACTCTGCAAGTGTCGTCGCCAATCTCGGTAGAATTCTGCTGAGGTCTCAGGCTGGAAGGGGACTTTCTCCTGGGTCACAAAGGAAGCAAAGGGGGGTCCAGAGCTCTTCTGGTTGCTCTGTGACAGTGAGGTTAAGGGGAGCCTGTGGGTTTTCATCTTAACTCTGGGATTGCTCTTTAAGCACTGGGTAGGCTACTGTGCCTGTGGGTCTCATTTTCAAAGGAGGGAACTGGGGATGTGAGAGAGAGGGAGGGCCCAAGGAATCCAGGCCATGATTTGGCCTGGATTCTCACTTATGCTGGGATTTTCCTACTGATGAATGGGACATAGCTCTGGTTTTCAATAGTAGATCAGTATTTGCTCTGAGAAGGGTGAAGGATTTAATGGGAAATCTCAGGAAGAGAGAAAGGAACACAAAGTGAGTGTCAAGGACCTGACAGGCTGGGTCTCTCTCCCCAAACTGCCACAGGATTGTTGTACTATCTATGATCTATCTCAGAAGCTGAGCTATCCAATTCTGATGTAGGAATGAAAGTCAAAAGACTGATGGAAGGAATGCTTTCTGACTCATTCTGCTCAGTTCATCTCAGCACTATCATCTTGTGGTTGCTTTTCTTTCTGTGACTAGAGGCAAAATCCTGTCTCTGTTGTCTTCCATGAGATAAAATGAAGAAGTATGTGTTGTAAGAAGACATGGTTGGAGCTTTAGGACAGAGCATTCTGCTAGTCTAAAGAGGCTGGGCCTTACCTACCTGGGAGATTTCGGTGGCCACATCTTGGGAAGGTTGCCCTTGAGTAGTGTGACAATTCCAGGGCACAGTTCTCTTTCCTCCCATCTTGTCCTTCCGCTCCAGAGGCTTCAGATGTGATGCAAGGACAATACTCCTATAGATAAAGGACAGAGAATGGGTGGTGAACTTAGCTGTGTCTTGGGAGGGAGGCAGCTAGATTTTGCCTGATGTAAGGTTGAACCTGTTGACAGGATAATATTACAATTATGATAGCAGTATAGCTAAAAGTCTTCAAACTCTGCACATGAAGCCAGATACTGTGTTCAGAATCTTATATGCAATAGCTTATTTAATTATAACAAAAGTTATTCTCTTTACAGATGAAAAAATTGAGGCTCAGAGAGATTAAGGAACTTTCAGAAGATTACACTAGTAGTAGAGGTTGAGGCCAGGAGCTCAGAATGATCTGATTCTAGAGTGCTTGCTGTTAACTACTGTAGTCCATCATAGCAGGACGGCCTGAGAAAAACGGCAGTGAGCCAACCTGAACTCCTCATAGGAAGGCACCCTCTGTTCCACTGCCCGTAGCTTGGCAGCATTCTCTCGTTTGTACTTCTCATCAGCAGCGAGCGCATCCTGCAGCTCTTTCTCCAAAGCTTTGAAGTCAATAACATCATTCCTTTCCATGGCCTGTTCCTGGGAAGGAAGGCATAGGGAATGAACATTAATGGAGGGCCAATATCAGGAAAAGGAGGATGCCTCTGGATTATTTTTTAGTATTTATATTTTAGTTGTGGATGGACACAATATCTTTATTTTATTTATTTATTTATTTTTATGTGGTGCTAAGGATTGAAACCAGGGCCTTGCATGTGCTAAATAAGCACTCTACCAATGAGCCACAAACTCAGCCCCACCTCTGGATTCTTTACCAAAACACAAAATGACCCCAAAACATTATGATACTTATCTTAGCAAGCATTACAAAAACCTGGCTTTCTACTTATACAAGTTGAGTTGCACAGGGAGGGCTTATATAAGACTTGTCACTGAAAATACAGAATTCTGACTTTCAATTTGGAGCCCTGTCTTGATTTTGTTCTCTATTCTAAAAATATTTATAGCTCAGTAGTAAAGCACTTTCCTAGCATGTGCAAGGCCCTGGGTTTGATCCCCAGCTCCACAAAAATAATAATTTTGGTGCTTTAGCTGAAGAGGCATTTGGATCTCAGAATTCAGACCATTCATTCTTCCACATAGGATCACTCCATAGCAAGTTGTTCCATTGAGGATATCACACAAAAGCAGGAGTCTTGTTAGCTACCAGAGCCCAGAGATAGCATTGCATCCTTCCTGAAATGTCTTTAATGGGAAAAAATAGTCTTCACCCAAACCAGAAGCAATGAATGAACAGGAAACTGAAGTATCAGAAGAAGGAGCTCAATAATCTCCATCCCCAAATCTCTCTGTCCAACCCAAAGCTGGAGGCACAGATGTCTAAGTACATGAGAAAAGTCTTTAGTTCTGCAGTTGTACTTTTGTAGTCTCAGGGCAGAGTCTAACTGGCCTTTTCTACAAGAGAATCTTCCAGATGGGTTCCAGTCTGGGCTCTGGCATTTACTTGTGAGACCTTCCTGAGCTTCAGATTCCTGGTAAGTTGAGCTAGATTTTGTGATTCACCCAGGAACAGCACTAGAGCAGGAAAGCAGGAGGTCTACAATTAACCCCATGGCCACCCTGACCCCCACCTCGACGTGGAGAAGCTGAATGCTGAGAAGGGAGTTGGGTTGGTCAGCAACTGAATCTAGGTATCCCGTTCCTGTCCAGGTTTTTGTTGCTGTTATTGTTTGTTTTTTATCTTCCTGGTTTAGCCTCCTAAGTAGCTGAGACTATAAGCCCGACACCTTGTGTGGCTTTCTATCCAGTTCTGAGGCCTCTCCTGTCATCGAATGAATAGAACAGCTCTTCCTTTCCCATTACTCAGCCTCCAGTCCCTCACCCTCGCGACCCTGGCGTTGGTCCCCTTGTTTTCTTTGGGGATCCCTGATTTGCTAGGACCGGAAGATAGCTCAGCGCATTCTTCACCCCACAGCGGTGGTTGCCTGGCAACTACGCCAACCGCCTTCCCACGTGACCGGTCCGAAGGCCCCCTTTCAGGGTGGCTCCGAGACGCCTGATCAGATTTCTGCGTCCTCAGACTTCACTTTCTTTGGAGCAGCGCAGGCCTTGATTTGGAGACCCACAAGTCCACTTTACCGGTTCCTGTCTTCGCGGTCAGCAGTCCTTGGAGCAGGTTTGCAGGCAGAGGTCAGTCCTCCGAGAAACGCGATCGTGGCGTCTGCGAGGTCCTTCCTGGCTGCGGGCGCAGACGTTGTCGCGGCGTGGGACGGAAGCGCGGTGTCCAGGGGCCGACTCGGAGCACTTGGCTGAGCTGGCGGGAGGTGAGCTGCCGCGGGGTAAGCGCTCTGGAAGGTTTTTTTTTTTTTTTTTTTTTCGGGTGGAATGGGAAATTAAAGAACGTCATATCTGGAGAGGTGTTGTATACTCTCTGTCTCTTTCTCTTCACAAATGGGTAAATTGAGGCCTGGAGCGGGATCGACACATGCGCACCGGTTCCGGGCTTTCCTTGTTTTCTCAGTGGGTAACGTCCTGTCCCTAGGCAGAAGCTAGGCTCTAACTGTCCAGTCCCCTTTCTTCCTCCTCCATCTATGCCGACTTAATTCCTTCTTTGCCAAGTTCCCACCTTTGAGAGCCTGAAGTCTAGCGGAGAAATGGCAGATTTAGTATACAAGAGATCCGGGTTTGGGGTATCTGTGGGAAAGTCTGTATGTGCAGTGTTGGAGTCATTAATTCACTCAACAGATACTTATTGGGGACAGTTTTGTGCCAGGCACTGTTCAGAGTAAACAAAACAAAGTCCTTGCTTAAATTGTAGTTGGAGAAATGAACAGCAAACAAATTACTATAAATGAGTTACCGGTAAATGTTAACGAGACAGTAGAAGCGAGGTTGGAAAGCATGTATGGAGGACTTCAAAAAGTGACAGAAAAGGTGACGTTTTAATAAAGTAACAAGGTATAAATATCCAAGGGGCAAAAGAGAATGACAAGTGCAATGGTTCTGAAACAGAAATTAACTTGATTTGTTCCATGAACAGCCTTCTAGAAAAGTTTCTGCAGGCACTTAATGGGAGTCTTTTTTTTTTTTTTTTTTTTGTAATCTTCAAAAGTCATGTAAGTCCAGAAAAACTAAGAAATCGTTCTAGATTGAATGAGAAATAAAAACACATCAGCTAAATGCAGACGGTAATCGAGGATGGGATTCTTGGTTGTGCGGGACATTATTGGAACAATTTGTAAAACTTGAATGGAATATGTGTATTAGGTGGTAATTCTGTGCTAGTATACATTTTTCAATTATGGTGGTTGTGTTATGATTATATAGGACAATGTTAGTAGTGTGGTAGAACACTTGCCTCACACTGTGAGGCACTGGGTTCAATCCTCAGTATCACAAAAATAAATAAAGGTATTGTGTCCATCTACAACTAAAAATACATATTTGAAAAAAAAGAAAGAAATGGAGGAGAGAGTATGGAAGTAGGACAATGAGTAGGGCATAGAGGTGGGGAAGGTACTGGGATTTGGAGGGAATTAGTTAGTAGGTTAATCAGTCATTAGTCACATCTGGAAAAGGGGCATGAGAGGTATCTGACCAACCTTAAAAGTAGAAATACAAGTGCTTGCCATGGAGTCTTTGATTATCTTGCCAGAATCTAACTCTTCTCCTCTCTTTGAATTTTAGCATCATGGATACTGACTTGTATGATGAATTTGGAAATTATATTGGGCCAGAACTTGATTCTGATGAAGATGATGATGAATTGGGCAGAGAGACCAAAGATCTTGATGAGGTACAGCGAACATATTGCTTTTTATCATCTCTCTTTTAAAAAGATCAGTAAAGTTCTGAATCCTCTGTATTCCCATAATGCCCTGTGTATATCTCTTAACGTTGCCTTTTTACAGCCTGACTTATACTGCCCCACAAAAACTCAGCTACTAAAGATCCAAAAGGGAATATAAGATAGTTTCACTGATGAGGTGGTTTTTTTTTTTTAAATACCTTTATTTTATTTATTTAGTTTTATGTGGTGTTGAGGATCGAACCTGGGGCCTTATGCGTGCTAGACGAGCGCTCTACTATGAGCCACAACCCCAGCTCGATGAGGTGGTTTATATTCTGAGCTCTGGTTCATCTGAAAGTAGCTTTTCTTCCATTTGCCTGAAGTATCTTTTGACAATCATGTGTAATTCCAGTTTAGAAAAGGTAATCAGCTTTTTTGGGCTGGGGATGTGGCTCAAGCTGTAGTGCGCTCGCCTGGCATGCGTGTGGCCGGGTTCGATCCTCAGCACCACATACAAACAAAGATGTTGTGTCCGCCGAAAACTAAAATAAATAAATTCTCTCTCTCTCTCTCTCTCTCTTTAAAAAAGATTTTAAAAATTTAAAAAAAAGAAAAGGTAATCAGCTTTTCTAAGAACATCTACACTGGGACCTCCCTCACAAGCTCAGGTCTCTCCCCCCCATATTTTTTATTTTTTGTTTTTGGTACTGGAGATTGAACCATGGGACACTCAACCACTGAGCCACATCCCCAGCCTGTTTTTGTATTTTATTTAGAGACAGGGTCTCAGTGAATTGCTTAGGGCCTTGCCAAGTTGCTGAGGCTGGCATTGAACTTACCTAAATCCTCCTACCTCCGCCTCCTGAGCTGCTGGGATTATAAGCATGCACCACCACACACAGCCTCCCCCATATTTTTTAATTGATGCATTATAGTTGTATTTAATGATGGGATTTGTTACATATTCGTACATGCACACAATATAACAATATAATTTACAAGCTTAGGTTTAATATATATATGTGTGTGTGTGTGTGTGTGTGTGTATGTATATATGGTTGTATTTCACTTATTTATTTTTATGTGGTGCTGAGGATCAAACCCAGGGTCTCACATGTGCAAAGTGAGCACTCTACCACTGAGCCACAATCCCAGCCCTACAAGCTTAGGTTTGTAAAAATGCACAAAAACAATAAAAGGGAAAGTATAGACTTCTTTGATTCCCCTTGAGGAAGGCTATGGAAAATGTAGTCCAGATGATCTGAGGCTTGCAAAAGACACCTAAGGAGGCTTTGTGTGTGTGTGTGTGTATGTGTGTGTAGATGTTGTGATATAATATCTTTATTTATATTTTTTTATGTGGTGCTGAGAATCGAACCCATTGCCTCACATGTGCGAGGCGAGCATTCTACCACTGAGCTATGACCCCAGCCCACCTAAGGTGGCTTTTTTGTTTTATAATTATTCAGAACGTAATCTAGAGGTAGAAAGGCCTGTTGTTAACAGTGAATTAGTCTGGATTAGCAGTGCTTAGGGAGCTGTAATAGTCATGGGACAGCAAGAAAATAGAACAGAAATTCTGGCTCCATCTGTCTTTTCAATTGGAAAAAATATTCATCAAACTAGAAAAGGATAGAATAAACTGGAAGAAAAAGAAAAGTTGAAGCCATATAGGTGATGTGACGTAAAAGGAGAACGTTTTGTGTGTGTGTTCAGATCTGTAGGGCCAGGTGATTTATATTTTGGCTGAGGTGTGGGGAAGACCTTGCAGAGATAAGCTCACTGTGGTCATCTTTAAACGTTGGGAGTGACTGAGGTACCAAAAAGTAAATTATACAGCTCATCCCGATTTTTAAAGATGGAGATAACGTGCCACATTTTAGATTAGTAAGTGTGATAGTGTGATATGCATCCATAAAATAAGTAATTCATGAATACATTCTCATTCAATCCCTGCAGATAGAAAAGTCTTCTGTCCTCATTCCATTTTACCCCTTTTCCAAATTAAGCACTGTGGCTCTTGCTGTCCTTGTGAAAAGATTTTGGCTATGTCAGAGTACAGTTAGGGAATGCTGCAGCTGATTGAACAATGGAACCCAAAAAGTATTGCCACCAGAGCTCTTGTGACATGTTTTAGGCATCTGTGCTTGATTTGTCTTTTTCAACCTTATCATTAATGACTTGGGTGAAGATACAAAATGGAAGTTTATAAAACTTATTTGGGACATAAGCTAATATATTTGAATTCAAAGTGATCCCAATAAACCTGAATTCCAGACTAATGCTCAATAAATTCATTTGTTAAATATTTATGAAGCTCTTTACTATGTTCAAGAAATCATGATGCAGAGAGAGCAGAGATACTGCCCCTGCCCACAGGAAACCTTCTACTAACTGGGGGAGATAAAAATACAAAAATATTTATAATACAAAGCAGGGGAAGAGGAGTATGCTGTTTAAGTTATATTAACTTCATGCTGTAGTAATAGTATGTGAGAAATAATTTCTGACTGGGATGACCAAGAAAGATATCTAAAGAAATAACTTTCATACCGGAGCCAAAGAATGGATAGGTGTCTGTAGAGATGGAAAGTGAACAATTAGTGGTAGTCTGGGTTGGGGATGGAATTGGGAGGTAATAACTTAAGAGTATGGAACTCCTTTTTTGGGCTAATTAAAGTGATCTAAAATTGATTGTAGATATGGTTGCACAATTCTGTAAAGACACCAAAACCCATTGAATGATGCACTTAAAATGGATGGATTGTGGGCTGAAGATATGGAGTAGTATAGTGTCTGCCTTGCATGCACAGGGCCCTAGGTTGAATCCCCAGCATAAGAAGAAAAAAAAAAAAAGAGTGAAGGAGTGAATTGCATGTGGAAAGTGGGTCTTATCTCACCAAAGCTATTAATAAAAATATAGAGAAAAAAATGTAGAAATGATGATTGTGATGACTAGTGCATTTTAGGATCCATTCGTTTCTGTGAGTACATTTGGTCTGTGACATCTCCTCAGTTTTTCCTCGTGTGCATCATTCTCTCAGTGATGGACACTCAGGTTACCTGGACCAAGCCTTTCCTCACTACAGATAACACTGCAGTGAACTTTCTTAGTTGTGTCCCTTAATGCATGATGTGAAAATTTTGAGGAGTGTTATATTCCTTTGAACAGAGTTGCTGATTATGGAATTATACAAAT